CAGAGGTCCGGACGCCCTATCGGGACCTTGGACGAAAGCCAACACACAAAAACCTCCGCCGTGATCTTTCACAACGGAAGGATGCCAGGGGACGACGACGACGACGACGACGACGACGACGACGACGACGACGGCAATGACGACGACGGCGATGACGACGACGAAGAGGACGACGAGGGCGGCGACGGCGACGGCGACGACGACGAGGACGAAAGCAGCGACGGCGATGCTGACGACAGGGACGACGATCGCCATGAAGCGGGGTCGGAGCCGCGGGCCCCTGGCCACCGCGTCTGCGCCGACCTCTGCGGCCATTCTCTTCCGCAGGCGCCTCGTCGAGGGAAGGAGGGGAAGGGCAAAACCAAAGACTCAACCCCGTGCTATCAAAAGGAGCGCCAACTAAGGAACGAGGGGTCTTCTCAGGCCACGGCGGACCCAGGCCACAACGGCATCCCACGACGCAGACCGAAGGAACGGCTTCAAAACCCGAGCCCATCCTGAGCCCAAGGCGGTTCTTGTTCCAGGGTTCTGCCTGTGCGAGGGTCCCTCTGTCGGGGGGGCGGAAGGAGGGGAACACAAAACTGTGTAAACATAAACTTTCGGAGGTATGTCCGATCTGAGCTCGTGAATCGGCGCTGGGCCCCCCTCCCTGACGCGCTCTGCGCGCCAGGGGCGGCGCTCAAGCCTCCACCAATGGGCTCCAGCGCACATCCAAGAGAACCCCGCGGCTCCGAAAGTTTACGCTGTTTTCTTCGAGGGCATCTACTTGCGACATATACGACCAGGAATCCTGCTGCAAAAAATGTTGGGGCACTCTCTTCGTTGATATTTGAAGGCCAGGGCCCTAGGGTGCCCTAGAATTTTCTTGTGTCCCTGGGGGCACCGGGGATACGAGACTCCCGCGGGGAACCTGCTGGCAGGCCGATGTCTCGTTTGACGTTCCTACAGACTTTGTTTTCGCGACAATGCCAAACGCACTCGTGCAACACGACGCCGCCTGAGTGCACCACAGTGCTTCGGTACACCACAACAACTGCGTGCACAACGCCACCACGTCGCCCATGTACGCCGCAATGTGTATACTGCAACAAGCGTGTGCGCAACAACGCTGGTGTACACCACGTTGCCCGCGTGCACCACAGCGCTTGTGTGCACCGCGGCGCCTGCATGCACCAAAGCAACCATGTGCACCACGACGCCTGCGCAAACCACAATGCTTCCGTGCACCACATCGCCTGTCTACCACAAAACGTGCCAACGGGCACATCAATAACTTACGAAGCGTTTTTCTTGCGGGGCCCGCCACAGACCGCGGAAACCCTCTCCACGTCGCCCGACACCGCAGTATTGTTGCATCGTGCAACAGCCGTGCGCGCCAGAGCGCCCGCGCGCGCCACACTGTTTCCTCCTATACATCCTCATGCGTCTGGTTTCCCCCCCCCCCTCCCCCCAGCACACAAGCTGGTACGCAAGCAGCGGGGCTGGCACTCTGTGAAGTCTTGGCAAAACCAACCGTAGCTTGCTTCGAACGAAACGGCCAAGACGAGATTGAAAGATATGGGGGGGAGGGGGCAACTCGGGAGCGATGTGGCGGGGGGGGGGCGAGGGGAGCGGGGGGACTGGGGGAGGTTAGAAAGGTGGGATTCTCTCGAATGGCACGCGGGCAGATAAGAGCGAACAGCCACACCGTACCTCGGCGCGCCAACCCGCAAATGTCACGAAATTGGGCCCGCAAGTGCAAGCGAAAACCTACGAGGAGGACGAGGAGGAGCGAGGGAGAGGACGAGGTGAAGGGTCAAGGGCGCTGTGAGGATAACCCCATATGGCCCACACTGCCACCTATATAATTCCAATGACGCACAACGCATATCCAGAGTGGAAGAGGAAGGAGAGGAGGAGGAGGGGCAGAGGACGACGAAGAAGGGGGAGGATATTAGTAGGCTGTGGAGCAGGCGGGAGGAGGTATGATTATGTGATGCCATACAGCAACTGCACTCATGGCATCGTTCGACGTCGCCTTGTCTTCGTCAGCGCCAATCGTGACAGACGCGGGATAACCCTTGTTCCACCCAGGCATGACTGCGAACTCCCCTGGCAGCATTGCTTCCAGAGTTCCATCATTAGAAAGAGCAGGGGAAGAGAACATAGGGATGTAGACGTAAACCACACCAGTCTGCGCACCAATAGCCTGCAGACGCCAGGCGCCACAATTGGCAGGGGAGCACCGAAACATGCCTCAGCACCACGCCGCGCCTGTGAATTCGTCACCGCAACAAGTAGGGAACCTGCGAACGCCAAAACACGCTTGAGAGTACCACACATGCCTTTCAGCACCACGCCATGCCTGTGAGCACAACGCCATACCTGCTAAGAGGAGAGGGGTCCGCCCTCCACTCCCAAAGGACGTACGATCGTTAGCGTTGCCTGGGGGGGGCGGGTAAACAAGCGTTACCCGCCAAACGAAAAAAGACGCTCTCCTACTACACCAGAGTTACTTCGCCAGGGAGACGTAAGACTAGAGTTAAGGAGTCTCGGGTTTGCCTGACGGGGCCGTCTGAACAAGAAAAAACGGGACCGCGACCTAAAGTTTCGGTTAACTCCCGCTGCAAACATGTCACGAAAACTGGGCCGTCAAACATCGCCCCGGGACCGTCGAAAAGACGCAAAGCCGAATTCCAGTAAACTCGAGTCTTACGCCTCCCGAGTCAGATCCAGGCGACGCCCCAAAATTGTTACGGATTTTTACACTTTCGAAAGCCATGTTCGGACCGTGGGGCCGTACTCGGGATGAAAAATATGATGGGAAGCTGGTCTTTTGGAAGGGGTCGATATCTCCAGGGACCAGTGTCACGAAATGAATGCGATGTCGGAGAAAGGGGGTTTGTCGTGGAGCCCATGAGGCGGGCCCATTCTGGAGCCCCTGGGCTCCATTTCCGGAGCCCTTGGGGACCACTCTGGAGCGCCTGATGCTCTCTGGGCCTCGTGAGTAAAGCTCTGGGGGCCTCGGCGGCCTTCCCGGAAATTCTGGGGACACCTTCGGGGAAGAGACCACTCCTTACAGGGCAGTTTTTAATACATAGGATTTGTTATATGCAATATATATATATATGAATATATATATATATATATATATATGTATATATAAATGATGTTTAATACATTACTAATGTATGAATAAATCTATGCATGAACTCATCGTTGTTTTTAATACTACATCCCTGCATATTCAATACATGATCCGCACGCGGAGCTTGTATTAAAAACGGCACTGAACGTATAAACTGTCGGAAGTCCACGCGATGTCTTGGCTGAGCCCCCGCCTTGGTGGGCGAAGCGCGCATGGGGGCGACGCCAGAGGCGCCGCAAGGGGGGTCTATAGCGCCGATGCAAGAAACCCGCGCGGGTGCCCCGAACAACTGCGAAGTTCCCGGGACAACTGGGGGCCAGGGCCACGTCGGTCAGGGGCAGCCACAATGGGGGGGACTGGCTCCAGGGGGGGGGAGGGAAACATCGACCTGAGATCGGCGATACACCACCCATGTGGATCGGCGCTGAGCCCCCAGTAGCGAATCCGCGCGTGCCTGGGCAGGGAAGGCCATCGAGCCCCCAGCAGCGATGCATGGGCGATCCGGGGTCGAGGCGCCTCCCCCAGATCGGGCGCTGGCAGAACTGGGTTTTTAGTGGGACCTGGTTTAGTGATGTGTCCTGGGTGGCGCCCCCTCCTCCTCCTCCTCCTCCTCCTCCTCCTCCTCCTCCTCCTCACGATCCCTCCTCCTCCTTCAGCTACCCCTCCCTCCTCCCCCTCCCCCCCCCCCTCGCTCCGTTCCACTAACCGGAACTGCCGCCACCCGATAAAGCAGCAGCTGCGGCAGACCTGGTTTCTAGTGATTCTGGCGAATTTTTGGGGGGGCTCCAGGGCCCTATACTGCTAACCGGGTCCCCTTCCTCGAGGAGTCCTGGCTTTACCCGACCTCGGTCCCATCCCCCCCCCCCCCCACAGCGAGTGTCGTCACCGAGCTCCTCGACGGCCCCGCGAGCCCATGCCGGCCCCCCCCCCGGAGCACCCTCGACGGGCCGACCCTGCATGGGGGGAGCCCGAGGCGTCTGGGAGGCAGGGCGTCGAAGGGGTGAGCTCCTTTCGGGCCGGGCGAAGGGGGGGGATAGCAAAGGGGGGGGGGATGCAAAAAACACCGAAGGATTGCAAAGGGGGGGGATAGCAAAGGGGGGGGATAGCAAAGGGGGGGGATAGCAAAGGGGGGGGATTGCAAAAAACACCGAAGGATTGCAAAGGGGGGGGATAGCAAAGGGGGGGGATAGCAAAGGGGGGGGGGATAGCAAAGGGGGGGATTGCAATCCTTCGTGCAATCCTTCGATAATCAGCTCACCTAGCTGATTTTCCTGGCGCCTCCCGGCGCCGGAGGCCTCTCTGTGGGGCCGAAGCCAGCTGCATGCCGCAGATTTCGTACCCCCCCCTCTTCCCTATCCCCCCCTTTCGTTCGGCCCGACCCTTCTGGGACCCCCAAAAACCTTGACGTCCGAGATTTCTGCACCATCCCAAACGTAGGATGACGAGCGAGCAGCGCACATACCTAGGACCATACCCATATATGGGGGGTCGGAGGAAGGAGGACTGGCTACGGGGATGGGTGCGGGTTGTCGGACCCCGGGGGGGGCTCCCTTTCGAGAGGGGAGCCCCACCTGACAACACGCACCCACAGCCCCCTCCCTCCCCGCTATGGCTATATGTCGCCACGCCACGCGTTCCCGACGCGCCCAGGTGGACGACGCCGACACCACGGCGAACCCAACGCAAAACCTGCGTCCCGCGCCCGCGGCAGACCCCACGGCAAACCCACCGCGCCGGAGGCGGCGCTTGCCCCGGTTGCCGCAGCGCCCTCCCCAAGACGCAGGGCCGCGCAGCCGAACCGACGGCGCGGCGACCTCCGGGTGCGCGCGTGTGCTGCCGCTCGCTCGACACGGGGCCCGATGCCGGCGCGCGCCTCGTGGCCTCCTGCAGCCGGACGCCGTTGGGCGACCGCGTGGCGCCCGCGGCGTGGCGGAGGCTGGCGGCCTCCTGGTAGGCCTCGAGGGCCCGCGGCAGGTCCCCGGCCGCGTCGTGCGCGTAGCCTGCTGGGCGCGGGGCAGGCCCAGAGCTCTGACAGGAAGGCCGAGGGGCCTCCGTCGATTTCTCGACGAGGCCTCGAGGTCGGCCGCTTGTTCCTGAAGGCTTTCGGCCGCTTTTCCTTGATTTCAGCGGTTGCCGTCTGGTCGTTTCTCCTCGCCGTCGGCCTTCGTGGCCTGCTCTCGGGCTCCCGGGGTCGTCAAAGAGGAAGCCGGGAGGAAAGGCCCAGAGCTCCAACGATACGGCCGGACCTAGGACAGAAGAACGTCCCTCAAGAGCATGAGACCCTCCAGGGCGCCAGACGGAAGCATAATCGAGGGTGCCCTCCCCTAGGATGCGCGAGAAAAGCGAAGAAACACGAATAGTATCAGCAGTGGCCTCCTAGATGGAGTCCGAGTAGATGAGGTCGGCGATGCATCGCCGACGTCGGCGATGCATCGCCGACGTCGGCGGTGCATCGGCGACGCCGGCGCTGAGAAAACCGAGCTCCACATCGAGCCACATCGCCGATGCATCGGCGATGCGGACCTTTTGTCCGACTCCATCTACTACGACCCCAGCTGGGAGGCCCTGGGGGGGTACCCTCCCCCAGGATGCACAAGAACATCCAACAAACACGAAGAACGTCAAGGTACCCTCCCCGAGCCGACATCGATCTCATATCTCGGGCCGACCGTACCCACTTCGGACGTCCCAAGCAAAAGGGCCCCGAGGGGACGGGTCCTGGCGAGCTCTGTCTCGCCGCTCTCGGGTCTACATGGGCCCCCCCCTGGACCCCCAGACTGTCAAACAAACACTCCGGACGACGAACCAGGGCCAATCAAAATCGGATGGGGAAATCAGATCAGATCGGACTGTGCCTCGGACCGGGCCGCACTGGCACGGAATCGAACTCGAGCAGGCTCGGCTGCGCCAACATGCGCAGCGACATAGAAGGACGCCCTGCGCGCATCGGGCCGCATCGGCTCGTCGGCATATCAGAATCGAGTCGGATCATTGGCGGCGCACGCAAGGGGAGTAATCAGGCGGAGGGGGGGAAACTTCTTAGAAGGAGGCTGCTTCTTAGAAGGCGACGGCCTTTCGTCTATAGATGAGTCCCGCGCCTGTTGAGAAGCAGGGTTCGTCTGAGCAGCCTTCCCCCCTCCCCCCGGCCCTCTCTGCGCGTGGCTGATCAGTGCCAGCCTATGTTCTGCATCACCACCGCGCCGGCGGGGCCCTCGAAGGTGCCAGTGGAGACCCGGATCCTGCGCGCGTGCCACAGGGCCTCCAGGGCGCCCGCGTAGTCGCCGACGTTGGACTTCAGGACCCCCATCGTGGTGAGCAGCGTCGCGACGCTCGGCGTCTCGTGCTCCTCTGGAGGACGGAAGAGCGGCAGAGGCATCAGCTTCCCGAGCTCCGCGCGGATTTCTTGGACCAGCGCTGCTCACCGACTCCCTGCGGAGCGCGCCGGGGGCGGCGCCACAGGCGCCGCCATGCTGGGGCCTACCGCCGATCCGAGAAGTCCGCGGTGGAGCTCGGAAAGTTTGTGTTCACGCAGTCTGTCCTTCGAGCTCCTCGACGTGCTCGAAGATCCAGGACACCTGGTCGTACACCTCCAGCGTCGTCATCGCCTCGTAAAGGTCCAGCCGCGTCGCGACGTCCGCCCGTGGCGCGTGGTTCCTGTCGGTCCCGCGGGCGTGAGAGCTGCCCCGGCCGCCGCGGTCGCGCGCTGCCTCCATCGACATTTGCAGGCCGTCCTGGAAGAGCCTGCCAGCCACCTCGTGCAGCTCGGACTCCCGCAGCATCCACCCAACATTGTCGCACACCAAGGCGCCTGTGGGAGGGACTCGACGTATACACCGAGCCGCCTGGTCGGCCAAAGAGCTTGGACGCCCCAGATTCTCAACCTGTCGGTGGAAGCTAGAGCCTCTATGCAGCGAATTCCTTCGCCGACCTCCTTGGCTCCGTGGCCAGCCAAACGACGTAAAGTATACATCGAGGCTCTCCGAACCTGGCTCGCCGCTGAGCTCTCCGGAGATGAGCAGCTCCCGCACGTGGCCCTCCAGCAACTTCGAGAGCCACTCGCGCATCCGCTGGGCCACCTTGCGATGATCCTCCGAACGTGCGACAGAGCGCCAACATGTGTTCGCCCGCGGCAGCCCATCGATACGACACAGGCGGCGCAGCGCGGGCCAGCACAGGCTGCGCGCTGTAGGCGGAACTGAACGGCGCAAGCGCTGTCTGCACCATCCGCAGAGCGCCCTGTGGCAGAGGGAGAAGGAGGAAGAGAAGGATTAGGAGGAGGAGGAGGAGGACGAGAAGTAAGGCGAGAAGGAGGAGGGGGAGGACGAGGATGACCAATGCAAACCCAAGACTCATCAACGATGTCGGAACACACCCTCCCTCCGAGCTCCCTCTTCACAGGCCCCTGCAAGGATCCATTTCCACTGAAGGAAATGTCCGGTTGGGAGACAAACGTTTGAAGATCCTGAGGCGCACCAAAACACCATTGTCGAGACCCCAACCCGACGAACTGACATGACTGTTGCGTCATGACGATGCTGATGCGCATCAGAACACCACTCCTGGGGCTTCAACACCGCGAGTCAACATAACTGTTGTGCCCTCACAATCCTGAATCGCTCCCAAAACAAATGCTTGCACGGTGATCATGGGAATCCGTGAGACTCTTTCAAATGTTTAGAACGAGTGTGTGCGGCGTTAATGCGACAACCACAGTCTGAAAAGGAGCCGCCTCAAACTCTTGTAGTTTTAGAGACGGATGCACGCGGCACTCAAAAACCGAGCCACATGTTGAAAACGGCCCGCCCTCAATCCGCGAAGCTCTTACAAATGTTTAAGACGAGTGTACACGGCGCTAGGGCGAGAACCACATGTTGAAAACCGCCTGCCGTCTATCCGTGGAGCCCTTGTAAACTGCAAAATTAAATTTGGGCAGCGCTATGGCGAGAGCCACACTTTGAAAACAGCCCGCCCGCAACCTCTGGAAAACTTACACATGTTAAAACGAATGAGCGCGGCGCGAAGGGAAGGCCTATCTTGAAACCAACCTCCCTGCATCTGTGAAGCAGTTGATAAGTTTCCAGCTAAAGGACCAGAAGTCGTAAGGAAGTTCGTGGCGACACGCCCGTCCCGCCGTTCCAACTGGCCTCGGGGTGGGACAGGGGGGTTCGTCGTAAGGGAAAGGAATGGAGGAGGAGGAGGAGGATGAGGATGCGGAGACGCAGAACATAAAGCGTAATGAGAAAACGGGTGCTTTCAGTAAAGCGGAAAGTGTATTCAAGCGGGGTCAGTCCAAACCCGGGTCAGTCAGGCACTGCAGGGTCCTGCAAGATCCTGTAGGATCCTGCAGGATCCTGCACCCAAGCCCGGGCCAGTGCAACCCTGGCCCTGCAGCATCCTGCAAGATCCCCCGTCTTCTGCGCCCCGAACCTTGTCCGCCGCACCGGTTGCCGTGGCCCCGGCGCTCGGGCGGTGGACCTGGCCGTAAGGGTCCTCGGCGACCAGCTGCTGCACGGCCTCTGCACACCGCTGCTGCAGCGCCCTCCAGGCGCCTCCGAGCGCGGCGCCGCTGCCAAGGAGCGCCTCGCGCACCTGCTGACGGTCGCGCGGGTGCAGGGCCACCTCTGGAGGCACAGAAAGCGAGAGGACACGCGAGAGGACACGCGGGAGGACACAAGACCCTTCCGAGAGCCACATTGCCACAGGATTGTAGAAAACATGGGTCGCGAACGCACAAGTGTAGCCTTGATTTGGCAGGGTCGACCTACTGATCAACCTCGACCGTAATCGTATGCCTTCGGAGCTCCACGCGGATCTCTTGCTTCGGCGCTGGAGCCCCCCGTTGGGGCGTCTCCGGCGCCGCCCCTGGCGCGCTCCGCGCGCCTGGGGAGGGGGGCCCAGCGCCGATCCGAGAGATCCGCGCGAAGCTCCGAGGAACTCTGTTCATGCTGCCGGCTTCGTCCCTCGAGACTTCGAGCTCGCAGAGCCCGAGGCCAGGCATCGGCGCTCCGAACAGCGCGGAGGCGGCCCACAGGCGCAGCAGGTACTCGGGGCAGTCCCATCGCTCCACCACGGCGAGCACGCTGCCGACCTGCCGGGCCTGAGCATCTTCGAACCGACGCCTATCCCCATGGGCGTGTCCTGGGCCCAACTGGCCGATTTGCCTTTACCTTCGGGTTTCGGGGGGTATATAAAGGCCGTTGCCTTCGGGTTTCGAGGGGCATATCCCCAACTGGGGTGCTGAGATGGTGGGGGTCTGTATGGAGATGGTCGTGGGGATAAGGGTCGGTTAAACTGGGGAACCCAAAGGGTACCAATACAGACACTCCATGAACCTCTCATGAGGTGCGTTCTGACCAGAACTTCAAAGCGAATCCAGCGGTGGCGACGAGGGCCTACCAGGAGGGCCAAAAAAGGCGAAAACGAGGCAAGGGCAGCGGCACGGGTACCGTCTTCGTCATCCCGCAAACGCTACCGGCCTGCTCCGAGTGCTCCACCTGGAAGGTGCCGCGCAGCGGGCCTGGCGCGGACACGCCCTGGTCGCCCGAGGGCCGCCGCCGCAGGCGGCAGAACGAGGCCCGCCACAGGTACGTGCGCCGAGGGTCTGCGCCCGAGCGGCGGCAGTGGTCCTCTTCCACCTCCTCCTCCTCCTCCTCCTCCTCCTCCTCCTCCTCCTCCTCCTCCTCCTCCTCCTACGCCTCCTCCTCCTACGCCTCCTCCTCCTCCTCCACCACCTCCTCCCTCCTCCTCCTCCTCCTCCTCCTCCTCCTCCTCCTCCTCCTCGTTTCCTGCTGCTCCTCCTACTCCTCCTCCTCCTCCTCCTCCTCCTCCACCTCCTCCTCCTCCTCCTCCTCCTCCTTGCCATCGCTCGGACGTCCATTCCCCGTGCACTTTCCTGTGTTGTGCGCGTTAATCGATCATCCAGGAAGCTCCTCAATTGTGCTCGCCGGGAACAAGTGCACACGTCCGAGCGATGCCAAGTCCTTGGAGGCCTCCCAAACAAGGCATGAACTAAACAGGGTGCTCCGCTTTCTTTTTATTATCCGTCGTTGTCGTCGTCGTCGGCGTCGCCGAGGGTGTCGTCATCGTCGTGGACCCTCACAAAACAAATCCGTCTGAATTATGCTCCCGCCAAACTTCCCGCGGCGGACCGCAGCTGTTTTCCCTCGGTCTGCCTTCGCTCCGCCCCTGCTGCAGAACAAAGTTGAAGCGACAACGGTCTACGGGATCACCAAAACGAGGCCCAGCTCGCGCCCTGCTCCCCCGAAGTTGGTCAGAGCAGATGAGCGACGAATAGATGTGGGTCGGACGCGAGATGTCGCAGCAACCTCGCGCGGTGGCTTACGCGGGCCGCCAGCGCGCGCGCGGGACGCCACAATGGAAACGCGGGCACGTGCGCGCGACCTTGCGCGGGCAGCTTACGCGCCAATGACGGTGAAGTCAACTCTGTTTTCCGACGTCGCTCAGCTGGCACTAAATCGAATGGGGTCGGAGGATCGCCCGACTCCATCTGCTCGGACACCATTCGGGAGGCCTGGATCGAGGAGTGGGAGTGGGAGTGGGAGTGGGAGGGGGAGGAGGACAAGCTAGGTGCGCTCGCGTCATATCTGACGTCCTACCCCTCCCTCCCATCCCTTACCATGGCGCTGATTTTCTCTATCCGCGGACGCGTGTCGTAGCGGACCTGTGGCTCCGCGCGCGCGTGCGTAGTGGGTGGTGGTGCGCGTGCGTGCGTGCGTGCGTGTGTGCGTGGTTGGTCGTGGTGGTGGTGGTGGTGGTGGTGGTGGTGGTGGTGGTGGTGGTGGTGGTGGTGGTGGTGGTGGTGGTGGTGGTGCGGCGCGGTGGTGGCGGGCGGATGGGCGCGCGAGAAAGAGGCCCGCGCTGGGGCGAGAACGCCATCCTGAACGACGGAGGCCAAACACCGATCCGAAAATGAGGCCCACGCTGCAGCGGGAGCACGATTCGGAACGATTCGGGAGCAGAAATGAGGCCGGCGCCTCAGCGAGAGCAGCATTTTGAAAAAAACGCAGGCGAAAACCCGTTTCCCGGGAATCCTGTGTGTAAAAAAACAGTACGCGGAGGGTGTTCGGCGATCACCCAACCGCCATCAGGGGAAGAGGGAGAGTATTTTCATATTGAGTAATTGTGGAGGAGGAGGAGGAGGAGGAGGAGGAGGAGTGGAGGAGGCGGAGGAGGAGGAGGTGGTGGAGGGGGAGAAGAGGGAGGAGGACCAACGTAAACCCAAAGCGCATCAACGATGCTCCAATAAAACATCACTCCACGTTCCCCCTGTCATAGATCCCACAACATTCATGTTCACTGACGCAAATGCCCCGTTGGAAGATAACCGTCTGAAAACGCTGAACCATGCCAGAACACAAGCCCTGGGACTTCATCGCCGCGAATCAACGTTACTGTTGCGCCCTGGCGATTCTGAATCGTGCCAGAACGCCGTTCCTGGGATTCAACACCGCGAGTCAACGTAACTTTTTCGCCCTGGCAACCCTGCGTCGCACCAAAGCACCATGTCTGGGCGTCAGCCACAAGAACCCTTAAACCGAATGTGAACTCTGAAGACGACTGCGCGCGGCGCCAAACCGAGAACCACATGTTGAAAACGGTACCACCCTCCAATCGTGAAGCCCTGCGCGGCGCTAAAGCGAGAACCACATTTTGAACACGGCTCGCCCTCCATCCGTGAACCTCATGCGACATTTCAAACGAATGAGCGCGGCTCTGGGGCGAGAACCACATGTTTAAAACGACCCGCCCTCCATGAAAATATTGCAACTGTTCAGCTTGGGAAATCGCAAATGGCCAAGAACTCTCAAACAAACCGCACGGCCCACCCAACCAACACGTCTCGGGATGCGACAGTGAGGATTTATGTTCAATGGAAAGGGGCGGGGAAGGAGGCGGACGAGAACAGCGGTCCTGGGAGGGGGGAAGAAGAGCGGTCCTGCAGGGCGGACGCGAGGTCCTGGACGGCGAGGGTGTCGCTGCAGCTCAACAGGTGGACGGACGCCCCCGCCTGTGGGTGTGTGGGGGGGGGGGGCAACGGTTTCCTCCTCCTCCTCCTCCTCCTCCTCCACCCCCCCCTCCTGCCCTTCCTCCTCCCCCTCTCCCTCCTCCCCTCCTCCCCCCCCCCCTCCTCTCCCCGTCCTCCTCCCCCCTCCCCCTCCTCCGCCACCACCTCTCCTCCTCCTCCTTCTCCTCTCCCCCCATCCTCCTCCTCCTCCTCCTCCTCCTCCTCCATCCTCCTCCTCCTCCTCTCTCCTCCTTCCTCCTCCTCGTCCTCCTCCTCCACCACCTCCTCCTCCTCCTTCGCCTCTCCCCCCATCCCTCCTCTCTCCTACCGTCCTCCTCCTCCACCCCTCCTCGTCCTTTTCCTCCCACCCCTCCTCCTCATCCTCCTCCCACCCCTCCTCCTCATCCTCCTCCTCCCTCGTCTCCCCCCTGACTGCGCTCTGGCCAGGACTTGAACGCGAATCCAGCCGGGCGACGAAGGCCGCGGGGCCAGCCCGAAAGGGCGCAAGCGAGGCACGGGCAGCGGCAACCGGTTGATATCAAGAGAGGCACAAACGTAAATGCTGGGAGGCCAAGCGCCGATCCAAGAACTTCGTGCGGACCCTTCGCGAATGTATGCTCGTGCGTCTCTGTTCTGCTCCGAACCACGAGATGCCGACGCTGCGACCTCCCCCGACCCCCCTGGTAGCCGGGTGCAGTCTGACCAGGATCTGGAGGCGGGTCCAGCTGTGGCAACGAGGACCTCCCAGGAGGCCCAAACATGCAAAAACGAGGGACGGATAGCAGAAATTCGCGCAGATTTCATGGCCGGGATGGTTTCGCGACAAGCAGCTTCACGACAAGGAAGAAACATATTCACGACAAGCAACCCCACGTTCGGCGCCCACTTTCGGCGCCCACTTTCGGCGCCCACTTTCGCCGCCCACGTTCGCCGCCCACGTTCGCCGCCCACTTTCGCCGCCCACGTTCGCCGCCGACTTTCGCCGCCCACTTTCGCGGCCCACTTTCGCGGCCAACTTTCGCCGCCCATTTTCGCCGCCCATTTTCGCCGCCCACTTTCGCCGCCCACATTCGCCGTCCACTTTCGCCGCCCACGTTCGCCGCCCAGGTTCGCCGCCCACTTTCGCCGCCCACTTTCGCCGCCCACTTTCGCCACCCACTTTCGCCGCCCACTTTCGCCGCCCAGTTTCGCCGCCCACTTTCGCCGCCCATTTTCGCCGCCCACTTTTCGCCGCCCACTTCGCCGCCCACTT